TCGTCAACAAACATTAGTCTGGGGATTATCGTGTGGCTATTCGGGCGTAGTTTTTGACGTCCATAGCCTGTGAGGGGGCGCGGCGGCTTGCCCAGGCGCCCCCATCCGTCGACGCCGATGTGCGCTCTGAGCCGAGGGCCCCCCGAGCGGCGGCCCTGATGATATTGCTGACCCGCCTCTTGCCCTCCTCCTCTTCCTGCTTCTCCTCCTCCTCCTCCTCCTCCTCCTCCTCCTCTTCCTCCTCCTCCTCCTCCCTCCTCCTCCCCCTCCTCCTCCTCCTCCTCCTCCTCCTCCTCCTCCTCCTCCTTCCCTCCTCCTCCTCCTCCCCTCCTCCTCCTCCTCCCCTCCTCTCCCTTTCTCCTCCTCCTCCTCCTCCTCCTCCTCCTCCTCCTCCTCCTCCTCCTCCTCCTCCTCCTCCTCCTCCTCCTCCTCCTCCTCCTCCTCCTCCTCATTCATTCACCAAGAGTATGCGCGCCAGAGGCATTCTCTCTCTCTCTCACACACACACACGCGCGAAAGGATGCACACCACACACGCACTCATTGGTGTGTGTCTCGAGCACGCTCACGCTGCATCAGCTCGAGAAGGGCACGTCTCTCTGCTATATCTGATCAAGGCGATCAGTGTTGAGAACGAGGAGTGCCAACAGAGGTTCAGTCAAGCCATGGGCCCCAAATCACGAAGGAAGCCCACGGCAGGTTTTGGTCCAGAACAAAAAGCCGCGCCATGGCGCGAGGAGGCCCATCAAGGCCTGGGGCGGGAAGGCCTTCCAAGGCTCGACGGTCCAGCCAGCAAATTGTTTGGAGCCACAAGGGAAAACAGCTTCACCCGCTCTCCAGAGTTGGCGGGTGAAGGTGGTGGTGGTGGTTGGGCGGCCATCACACCACCTCTCCAAGGATTGAATTCCATTCCATGCATATCCACCACAGGCATGGCCGATAAAGACTCCGCTGCTCTTTGGCGGGGGCAGCGGGAGGCCCGACCCAAGGAAGACACAGGCCTCCTCGATCGTGTGCCCCTGGCCAGCAGCGAAAGCCTCGAGCTCATCAGTCACCGCTGGGCTGAGGGTGTGCCGCCGCTGCGATCGGGCCAGGATCGCCGACGGTCGCGGCGCCCTCGGGCGCTCCTGAGTTCCCACCCCCCGTCGCCCCACGTCCACGCCGTCCCCCCCGTCCCGACGCCGAGGAGGAGGGAGCGGGTGAGAATCGACAGCCTCTGCTTCAGCCATGTGGACTTCCAGGAAAGCAGCCCACTTGGCGAAGCTTTTGACGGCCTCCTGGGGGGAATCTAACGCATTATATCCTGGGCTGGGATCTGGGTGGGGAGCGGTGCTTTTGCCAGCATAAATGTCCGCCGCCCTGTTTCCCGCCCAGTAGAATTCCGAGACTCGGCCTTCTGTCACCGCGCTGTACAGAATGTGGGACGTCACCTTGACCGCCCTCGCTTCGGGCAGGCTACGGTGCACTTCTTCCCAGATATGGCCTCTGGGAATGGCAGCACTGCAGGCACGGCTTGGATCTGAAACACGATCGACCGTTCCCTGACAGTCAAAATAGAAGGTGGCTTCACCCTGCACAAACCCGCTTGTTGCCATTAAAATGGCCACATCTTCACCGTCGCGGGCAGCTTGGTACGAACCGAGGTGCCACGGCACGGGACCATACGCAGCGGCTAACATCAGTCCTTCAACATTCAGCTGCACCGGGCTCCAGCCAGCCCTCCTTGCCAGGGGGCAGGTTGGAAAGATGGCCGAGCCATCCGAAAAAAAACCGATCCAGTCATAAAGCCACACTCTGGTTTCTGGACCCTGATAACCTCGGACCACGAATTCCAGAGGGGCCGCGGGACCCGCTCCAGGGGAAAGGGAAAAAAGGCCGCTGGCGGCCTTGTCCAGGTCCTGACCAGTGAGCTGCATGGCCGCGGCCTCTTTGAGCATTCCAGGGGAGACATACTTAGCACGGGAGTCGTGCCAGTGCTCACAACGGAATCTCCGATGCCAGACCGTCCCAGAACATTTGCCACACAGCTGGCAGACATCTGTATCCGCTTTGTCATGCCTGGCTTGCTTGGCCTGGCACCCTTGCTGCTGGCTGTCCAGTGATCTGGGCGTCTCCTTGGGTCGCATGGAGACCCCTTTCTTGTCCTTATGTAAACTATGTAAAGTGGAAAGGCGGAGGCCCAGCAACTGCTTCATCGACAATCCAGCAACTCCCGAGCCCCACAGGGCCTTCGCGAGGGGCCCAGCCCTCAGAATGCCTCCAACCTTGGCTCCCGCGCTTATGAGTTTCTGAAGCTTGTATGACCGTCGGAAAGCTTTCATCATCCTCTTGGAAGCAATTGTCATCACTCTCTT